CTGGGAAATTGGCGTTAATACCATGCATTTGTAGATTTAACTAGTTAGCCAGGAAACTTTACAGTCTGTGAGAGACTGAAGAAATCAGATCACGGGATAAATAATAGCTTCGCGGAGGAAACAGCGTCGCGGACAAATCCGATCGCGTCTCAGCCCGCGACGCTGTCTTGGCCTGGGGAGAACACTGACTATGTTTGGTAGTCTGACTGAGCTACTATGTTAGGTAGTCTGACTGAGCTACTATGTTTAGTAGTCTGACTGAGCTACTATGTTTAGTAGTCTGACTGAGCTACTACGTTAGGTAGTCTGACTGAGCTACTATGTTTAGTAGTCTGACTGAGCTACTATGTTAGGTAGTCTGACTGAGCTACTATGTTTAGTAGTCTGGCTAGGCTCTTTATGTTTGGTAGTCTGACTGAGCTACTATGTTTAGTAGTCTGGCTGAGCTACTATGTTAGGTAGTCTGACTGAGCTACTATGTTTAGTAGTCTGACTGAGCTACTATGTTTAGTAGTCTGACTGAGCTACTATGTTAGGTAGTCTGGCTGAGCTACTATGTTTAGTAGTCTGGCTGAGCTACTATGTTAGGTAGTCTGACTGAGCTACTATGTTTAGTAGTCTGGCTGAGCAACTATGTTAGGTAGTCTGACTGAGCTACTATGTTAGGTAGTCTGACTGAGCTACTATGTTTAGTAGTCTGACTGAGCTACTATGTTAGGTAGTCTGACTGAGCTACTATGTTTAGTAGTCTGGCTAGGCTCTTTATGTTTGGTAGTCTGGCTGAGCTACTATGTTTGGTAGTCTGACTGAGCTACTATGTTTAGTAGTCTGACTGAGCTACTATGTTTGGTAGTCTGACTGAGCTACTATGTTTGGTAGTCTGACTGAGCTACTATGTTTGGTAGTCTGACTGAGCTACTATGTTTAGTAGTCTGACTGAGCTATGTTTGGTAGTCTGACTGAACTACTATGTTTAGTAGTCTGACTGAGCTACTATGTTTAGTAGTCTGGCTAGGCTATTTATGTTAGGTAGTCTGACTGAGCTACTATGTTAGGTAGTCTGACTGAGCTACTATGTTTGGTAGTCTGACTGAGCTACTATGTTTGGTAGTCTGACTGAGCTATGTTTGGTAGTCTGACTACACTACTATGTTTAGTAGTCTGGCTAGGCTATTTATGTTAGGTAGTCTGAGCTACTATGTTTGGTAGTCTGACTGAGCTACTATGTTTGGTAGTCTGACTGAGCTACTATGTTTAGTAGTCTGGCTAGGCTCTTTATGTTTGGTAGTCTGGCTGAGCTACTATGTTTGGTAGTCTGACTGAGCTACTATGTTTGGTAGTCTGACTGAGCTATGTTTGGTAGTCTGACTGCACTACTATGTTTAGTAGTCTGGCTAGGCTATTTATGTTAGGTAGTCTGAGCTACTATGTTAGGTAGTCTGACTGAGCTACTATGTTTGGTAGTCTGACTGAGCTACTATGTTTAGTAGTCTGGCTAGGCTCTTTATGTTTGGTAGTCTGGCTGAGCTACTATGTTTGGTAGTCTGGCTGAGCTACTATGTTTGGTTGTCTGGCTGAGCTACTATGTTAGGTAGTCTGACTGAGCTACTATGTTTGGTAGTCTGACTGAGCTACTATGTTTGGTAGTCTGACTGAGCTACTATGTTTAGTAGTCTTACTGAGCTACTATGTTTAGTAGTCTGACTGAGCTATGTTTGGTAGTCTGATTGAACTATGTTTGGTAGTCTGATTGAACTACTATGTTTGGTAGTCTGACTGAGCTACTATGTTTGGTAGTATGACTGAGCTACTATGTTTAGTAGTCTGACTGAGCTACTATGTTTAGTAGTCTGACTGAGCTACTATGTTTGGTTGTCTGGCTAGGCTCTTTATGTTTGGCAGTCTGACTGAGCTATGTTTGGTGGTCTGATTGAACTACTATGTTTGGTAGTCTGACTGAGCTACTATGTTTAGTAGTCTGACTGAGCTACTATGTTTAGTAGTCTGACTGAGCTACTATGTTTGGTTGTCTGGCTAGGCTATTTATGTTTGGTGGTCTGACTGAGCTACTATGTTTGGTAGTCTGACTGAGCTACTATGTTTAGTCGTCTGGCTGAGCTACTATGTTTAGTAGTCTGACTGAGCTACTATGTTTAGTAGTCCTGACTGAGCTACTATGTTTGGTTGTCTGGCTAGGCTCTTTATGTTTGGCAGTCTGACTGAGCTATGTTTGGTGTCTGATTGAACTAC